AGAGACAGGTGATAGAGACAGGTGATAGAGACAGGTGATAGAGACAGGTGATAGAGACAGGTGAAAGAGACAGGTGAAAGAGAGGTGAGATAGGTAAGGGTTTAGGTCACCTGTCTGAAGTCAAACCATGTCTCGTTTCTTTGTTCCTACCTTAAGGTTTTATTATTTTTACCTTTGAAGGAGGTGTCGGGACACCTGAGTGAGGAGATGAAGTCCCTGAGCAGAACCATCAGAACCGAGCCAAACTCCTGGTCCAAACGCTCACCTGGCTGCTCCTCACACCTGCTCAGGTAGAACGTCAGGGCTTCAGAGAAAGAGGCGGGGCCAGAAACTGGACGCTCAGCTTCCTGTGACTACAGACAGGACCAATAACCAACAGACTCCATTTCCCACGCTGCACCTCGACTCCCTGAACCCCAGAGGACCCCTGAGGTCCCCGCAGTGTCTCAGGTGAGACTCACCTGGACATCAGTCCTGATGACCTCCAACAGTGGGGGCTCCAGCACCGTGTAGACCCTCTGAGCCATCAGCAGGTGCTGGGTCTCACTCAGCTCCCCCAGACCAAGAAGCAGAGTCCGGGTCAGAACCAGGAAGGAGGCCCTCCTGCTGACACCGGACCCCGGCTGCCGTTCCACCAGCAAAACCAGTTTCTCCAGCTGAGACACAGAAAACCCAAAAACTGAGACAGAACCCCAAACTGGGACCAAAGACCTGTCGGATCCTGAAGCTGCCACTCACAGCATCCCATCTGGAGAAGACGTCCATCTTCCCCAGGTTCTTGCTGAGGGTGGAGACCAGGCGCTGGTTGGCAGAACCAACAAACCCGGGTTCGGACCTTCTCTCCATCATCTCATCCAGCTCTGCAGAGAAACCAGCGTTCACAAGTTTCTTCTTCATTTAAAAACGAGCTTTTATTGTTTGTGAGACATTTATTGTGAAGGAGTCACAGGAAGTTGGTACCGTGGACCCAGTTGTGGGTGAGGGGGTTCTGGGTGAGGGTGGAGCAGCGGGCCACGCAGCCGGCGAGGCCGAGCTCAGCCGAGGTGACCACCAGGAAGGGAAGCAGCTTCCAGCTCGTCCTCTGTACAAACTCAGAGTCGCCTTTTCCCAGCCGGGGGTCGGACAGTAAACGCATCGCCTCCGTCAGTACGGGCAGCCTGAGGGAGACAAAGCTCAGATTTACTGAAGGTCCATGAAAGCAACATATACAACCAAGGTGTGATTAAGTGTGTTTACTTCACTGACCATGACGCAGCCTTGGACATTTCAGCTCTGTCCAGCAGAGACAGTAAACACAACACGACCTCCTCTGGGTCCAGAACATCAAGCAGCATCTAAAAAACAAGCAGCAGTGAACACACCACGAGAACTGACAAACCAGCAGGTGTTTACTTCACTGACCTGCAGAACTCTGAGCGCTGCTGCGACCACTTCAGGAACGTCGTCCTTCAGACGCTCCAGGACGGCGTCTTTCAGGAATGTCTCATCCAGACTCTGCTGCTGCAAGAAACCCAGACGGAACCTCAGAAAAGAACGGGGCCCAGAACTGAATCTTGAGGAGCACCATCAGTACAGAACCTGTCCCAGGACCTTGAGCTCCCACAGATACCTGTCTGGAGGTGATGAGTTCCATCAGGTGCTCCACAGCCGACACTCGGACGGACGCTCGTGGATGTTTAAGACTGAGGACCAGGGATGTGTCTGAGTCGCCTAAAATCTAACAGAACCGCACAGACGGTCAAACAGAGACCATATCAGATCCAGGACTCCACCTGTGTCCAATTATGACATCATCTGAAGAAGACGTGTCTTACCTGGTGCTTCCCACTGCTTGTGGACAGGGACAGGAACCGGTGGAAGAGACGTTTCTGCTGCGGGTCGGTCACAGAACCAGAGAGGACAATGTCCAGAGCACCCCCGTACCTGGAGGAGGACAAACCATAGCTGGTGGTTTCAGAGGACATGTTGGGGGTCAGAAGGCCGATTTACCACTATGCACAAACTGTTTGCAGGTCCTACCTGGACTCAAACAGCCGGACCAGAGGCTGCAGACCCTGGTCCAGGATCATCAAGTCTTCAGCAGAACGTTGGGTCTGACTCAGATACAGGTCCAATAGCAACCTGCAGGAAGACCAACAGAACCCAGTAACAGAACCCAACAAGACCTCTAAAGACTCCAAACTTGACTTGGATCCTCAGGCTCAGCCAGGACCAGACCTGGCCTTCAAAAGACCCTCAAAGACTTGATGACCAATGTAGACCTGGACTTATGGTTCCCCCTCATTAGTCTTTACATAGACCAGATCATCTCAGACCAGACACTGACTGGTCCAAGAAAATACTTGAGACCCAAAATCCAGTCCTCTGAAAACCTGAACTCTTTTAAAGACCTGGTCTGGTTCTCTGGGACTGGACTGGTCTTACAAGTTTGAGACTAGACTCAATCTAGATTTGGACTGGTCTCAGACTCCAGACTTATCCTCTAAGTACTTCAGACGAGATTCAGAAGAATCCTCCAAGACCTAATACCCAGGCTGACTAGTCTTTAGACCCAAGAGGACCCATTAAGACTCAGATAAACTGGTCTTCTGAAGACTGGAACTGTTCCCCAAAGACCTGGGTCAGATGAGTCCACTGTGGTTCTTCAGACTTTGAACCATACAAACCCACCCAGTAAAGACTTCAGACTAGAACTAGTTCTCCAAACTAGACCCGAAGTCCAAAGTGGCTGACCTGATCCTTTAAGACTTGGCTTGGACTCGTGAACTCAAGACCTGTTCCAAAGTGGTCCTCTTTAGACCAGACTTTTACTAGACTTCTTAAGATTTGGTTTAGTTTTCCAAAACCTACAACTAGTCTTGAACTAGTCCTCTGAGTCAGGACTTGGATCAACCCATTGAATACCTAGGTTACATGCAGTCCTCCAAAGACTTGAGACAGTTTTCATCAAGTGCTTCTGGACCTGAAACTAGTCTTTCTACTTATTACTGACTAGTCCTCCTTAGACTCTAACTAGACTTCTGAAGACATAAAACTAGATTCTGGTGATCTGTGGAGATCTGTGCTTGTTCAGGATCAACTTGGGACTCTTAACGAGGACTTACCGGGCCACGATCTGGTCCAGGTCTTTGGTCAGTGGGACAGATTTCAGGACGGACTCCAACACAACGAGCCCGTTTGTCTCACCTGTGAGAGAGTGTCAGGTGAACTTTGAACTGGTTCAGGTTGTTCTGGTTCTGGATTCAGGTGTCCCAGGTCTCACCTGAGCTGCAGATGAACAGGTTCTGGACCAGGTGGGGCAGCAGGTACCGCAGCAGTGGACCGACATCATGAGTCTCTGCTAGGACCTGCAGCGTGGAGACGAGCGCCGGCATCGAGCACAGCCAGCCCACCGCCCTGAAACGACACACAGGTGAGCCCGGCCCGAACTGAGCGTGCTCAGAACACCTGAGCTGCAGCAGAGCTACCTGGGCCCGACGGCGCCATCCTTCTGGTTCTGCAACAAGACTGTGAGGCAGCCCAGGCCCTCCTGGGCTAAAACCGGCTCTTTGAGCAGAGACTTGCTGACGTGCACGGCGAGGCTGTCCACCAGACCGGCCTCCATCACCACCTTCACGGCGAGCTGGCACACGATCATGTAGGAGGCAGCTTTGAAGTCCGAGAGGGGAGACTTGAGACCCTGAGGGGACCAGGAGACCATCAGAACCACAAACTTACAGACAGGGATGTTTCACGCTCCAACAGAACCGGACTGCCCCCTAACAAAGTCTGAGAACACTAAACATCTAAAAATAACAGATCGGATTCATTTGACCTTTCAGGACACCGTGGAGCTAAACCCTCACAGCAGGAGAAAACAGGAAGAAGAGCCTTCACAAGTCCACCTGAGGAGGTTCAGGAGCACAGGCTGATGGTTCTCAGACCAGAGAGGTCCAGAGTGGAGGAGAAGAGCGGCTGGAGGCCCTGCTGTTCTTGATGAGGTGGAGGGAGGATATCTGCAGGAGGTCAAATAGATATGGAGGGACAAGACGCTGGGTGGCTTTAAAAGTGTAGAGAACGATGCAGGACCTGATCAGGACGGGATTATGTACGGACGGACGCTTTATTAACCCCAGGGGGAAACTCGAGGAATTTCTAATTATACAGGGAAAAAAAAAAGTGGAAAAGAAGCAAAATACACAAATTTGGAAAAAGATAATATGCACAAGGTGGTAGAGTACTACGTCCATGATGAACCTGTATATACACATGTATACATACTTAGGACATACAGGTGCTGGACATAAAATTAGAATATCCTGAAAAAGTTTATTTATTTCAGTAATTCCATTCAAAGTGAAACTTGTATATTATATTCATTCATTACTCACAGATTGATATATTTCAAATGTTTATTTCTTTTAATGTTGATGATTATAACTGACAACTAATGAAAACACCAAATTCAGTATCTCAGAAAATTAGAATATTGCTTACAGTGAGTAAAATAAGTATTTGAACATCCTGTGACTTTGCAAGTTCTCCCAGTTAGAAATCATGGAGGGTCTGAAATGTTCATCTTAGGTGCACGTCCACTGTGAGAGACATAATCTAACAAAAACAACAAACACTGCAGCAGAGATGTTGGTCCATTCCTCCACAGATCTTCTCTAGATCACCAGGTTTCTGGGCTGTCACTGAGAAACAGAGTTTGAGCTCCCTCCAAAGATTTTCTATAGGGTTTAGGTCTGGAGACTGGCTGGGCCACTCCAGAACCTTGATCTGCTTCTTACGGAGCCACTCCTTGGTTCTCCTGGCTGTGTGCTTTGGGTCATTGTCATGTTGGAAGACCCAGCCATGACTCATCTTCAATGCTCTCACTGAGGGGAGGAGGTTGTTCCCCAGAATCTCTCACTACATGGCCCCGGTCATCCTCTCCTTAATACAGTGCAGTCGTCCTGTCCCATGTGCAGAAAAACACCCCCAAAGCATGATGCTTCCACCCCCATGCTTCACAGCAGGGATGGTGTTTTTGGGATGGTCCTCATCGTTCTTTGTCCTCCAAACACGGCGAGTGGAATTAAGACCATAAAGTTCTATTTTGGTCTCATGTGACCACAGAACTTTCTCCCATGACTCCTCTGGATCATCCTAATGGTCCTGGTCAAACTTAAGACGGGCCTGGACGTGTGCTGATTTAATCAGGGGAACCTTCCGTGCCATGTATGATTTTAAACTATGACGTCTTAGTGTATTACCCACAGTAACCATGGAAACAGTGGTGCCAGCTCTCTTCAGGTCATGGACCAGCTCCTCCGTGTAGTTCTGGGCTGATTCCTCACCTTTCTGAGGATCACTGATACTCCACGAGGTGAGATCTTGCATGGAGCCCCAGTCCGAGGGAGATTGACAGTCAGGTTTAGCTTCTTCCATTTTCTAATAATTGCTCCAACAGTTGATCTTTTTTCACCAAGCTGCTTGGCAGTTGCCCCGTAGCCCTTTCCAGCCTTGTGGAGGTCTACAATGTTGTCTCTGGTGTGTGTGGACAGCTCTTTGGTCTTAGCCATGTTAGTAGTTGGAGTCTTACTGATTGTGTGGGATGGACAGGTGTCTTCATGCAGCTAACAACCTCAAACAGGTGCTTCTAGTTTAGAATAAGAAGTGGAGTGGAGGTGGAGGTTATAGAGAAGGACCAACAGGTGTTTGAGGGCCAGAACTGTTGCTGATTGGCAGGTGTTCAAATACTTATTTGAAGCAGTAACACACAAATAAATTATTTTAAAAAATCAAACATTGTGATTTCTGGATTTTGTTTTTAGATTATGTCTCTCTCAGTGAACATGCAGCTAAGACGAAAATTCCAGACCCCTCCATGATTTCTAAGTGGGAGAATTTGCAAAGTCGCAGGGTGTTCAAATACTTATTGTCCTCACTGTAAGACCAATTAAAAAAAAGATTTTTATAAATGTTGACCAACTGAAAAGTATGAACATGAAAAGTATGAACATAAAGTATGAACATAAAGTATGAACATAAAGTATGAACATAAAGTATGAACATAAAGTATGAACATAAAGTATGAACATAAAGTATGAGCATGTTCAGCATCAGTACTTGGTTGTTGCTCCTTGTGTCTGGATCTCTGCATCAATGCGTCGTGTCATGGAGTGGATCAGTCTGTGTCTCTGCTCAGGTTCTGAGAGTCCAGGTTGTTCTGATCGTGGCCTTCAGCTCTTCTCAATTGTTGGCTCTGGTGAATCACATCTTCCTCTTCACAATACTCCATAGATGTTCTATGGGGTTAAGTCAGGTGAGTTTGCTGGACATTTAAGAACAGGGATACCATGGTCCTTAAACCAGGTGCTGGTATCTCTGGCACTGTGTGCAGGTGCCAATTAAGTCCTGTTGGAAAATAAAATCTGCATCTCCATAAATTTGGTCAGCAGGAAGTCTCTAAAACTTCCTGGTAGATGCTGCGTTGACCTTGGACCTCAGAAAACACAGTGGACCAACACCAGCAGATGACATGGGCCCCCAAAGCATCACTGACTGTGGAAACTTGACACTGGACCTCAAGCAACGTGGATTCTGTGTCTCTCCTCTTCCTCCAGACTCTGGGTCCTTGATTTCCAAAGGAAATGCAAAATGTACTTTCATCAGAGAACAGAACTTTGGACCACTCAGCATCAGTCCCAGGAGAGACACTTCTGATGCTGTCTCTTGTTCAAGAGTGGCTTGACACAAGGAATGTGACAGCTGAACCCCATGTCTTGCATACATCTGAGCATGGTGGTTCTTGAAGCACTGACTCCAGCTGCCGTCACTCTTTGTGAATATTCCCCTCATTTTGGAATGGGTTTTGTTTCACCATCCTCTCCAGGGTGCAGTTATCCTTTTTGCTTGTACGCTTTTTTTTAATCATATCGTTTCCTTCCCTTGACCTCTCTATTAATGTGCTTGGACACAGAGCTCTACGAACAGCCAGCCTCTTCAGCAATGACCTTTTGTGTCTTGTCCTCCTTGTGCAGGTGTCAATGGTCGTCTTTTGGACAACTGTCAAGTCAGCAGTCTTCCCCATGATTGTGTAGCTACAGAACCAGACTGAGACCATTTAAAGGCCTTTGCAGGTGTTTTGAGTTAATTAACTGATTAGCGTGTGACACCAGGTGTCTTCAATATTGAACCTGTTCACAATATTCTAATTTTCTGAGATACTGAATTTGTGGTTTTCATTAGTTGTTAGTTATAATCATGAACATTAAAAGAAATAAACATTTGAAATTATCAGTCTGTGTGTAATGAATGAATATAATATACAAGTTTCACTTTTTGAATGGATTTACTGAAGTAAATCAACTTTTTCATGATATTCTAGTTTAATGACCAGCACCTGTATATATTAGACTGCTGGAGGACAAACTGACCACATGTCCTCTCTCTGCTGCTGTCTTTACTTACTCTACTCTTCCTGTTTGTGTTTGTAATTATTTCTATCCTTGATGTGTTTTTGTCTTTCTTCCAATGGATGTACACCTACACCTGGACCTGTCATTCTGTATTTGTTTATCTCTACTTCCTGTCCACTTAAACCCAGCCGGTTGAAGCAGGTGGCTGCTGGTCCTGAGCCTGGTTCTGCTCGAGGTTTCTTCCTGTTAAAAGGGAGGTTTTCCTTCCCACTGTCTCCTTTGTGCTTCAGGATGAGAGACTGTGATGAAGTGAAGATTCAACACAATCTGATGCTTCCTTCCTTAGACAGAGAACTTTTACTGATTGGCCTTTTTATGTGTGTGAATGTTTCTGTTCAGTGCCTGAGACGACTTCTGTTGTGACTTGGAGCTGAAGGAATAAACTGAAAAGAATTATAGGAGGTTTGGGTCATGAAACGGGCAGCGGAGTTCTGAACCATCTGTAGCTTAAGAAGGGATTTTTTGGGGAGGTCAAAGAGAAAGGAGTTACAATAATCTATGAGAGGTCACAAGGCTGTGGACAAGGATGGCATGGAGTGAGCGGTGAGAGAAAGGCGGGGATAGTTAAGGTTACGAAGGTGGACATAAGCTGACCGAGGGACACCACTGATGTGGGATGTGAAGGACAAGGAGCTGTCAAGGTAGACACCTGGACTGACCTGAGGAGAACGCAGAGAGTTGTTGAGTGGATGGTGAAAACGTTCAGATTCAGAAAGAGTGCATTTGGTACAAACAAGGACAGGTTGCTTCTTCACTGTTCAGTTGCAGAAAATTGTTAGAAAACCAGACTGAGCTCAGTGAGAAGGAGTGAGGATGGGAGCGTAAATTAGGTCTGGTAGACAAATTGTCATCTGCATGCAGTGAAAATGGATAATAAAGTTACAGAAGATGTGACTTAAAGGAGGAAAGTAATGAAGAGGAGGGGCTCAAGGATAGAACCTTGTGGCACACCAGTAGTCAGGGGAAGACTGAAATTGAATGAACTGAGTGCAGCCAGAGAGAAAATTGAATCCAGTTGAGGGGAATACCAGAAGTGCAGGTGGAAGTGAGTATGTCGAGGACAGAGATGGTGTCAGAGGACGCACTCAGGATGAGGATGGACAGAAGACGAGTCAACAACGTGAAGATCAGTTGTGATTTTTATGAGAGCGGTTTCTGTGGTGGTGGGACAGAAAACTAGGCCTGTCACGATAACATATTTTGCTGGGTGATTAAGTGTCTCAGAAAGATGAACGATAATATTGTTTGAAATTTAAACATTATTTGTCAAATTTCAGAAGAAATGTTGATTTGTTTGGAGTGTAGTACCTTTTTTGACCACCTGATGGCAGTATAAGACTGTTTGAACCAAAGCATGGATAGTTGAGCAGCGTGTCTAAGAAAATTGGGAGGGAGGCCCGTTGACGTGAAGTATGCTGACATGCTGACATGGTGACATGTTGACATGGTGACAGTGACATGGTGACAGTGACATGTTGACAGTGACATGGTGACATGCTGACATGGTGACATGCTGACATGGTGACATGTTGACATGGTGACATGCTGACATGGTGACATGGTGACATGGTGACATGCTGACATGCTGACATGGTGACATGGTGACATGCCGACATGTTGACATGGTGACATGTTGACATGCTGACATGCTGACATGGTGACATGTTGACATGGTGACATGTTGACATGGTGACATGTTGACATGATGACATGTTGACATGTTGACATGCTGACATGTTGACATGGTGACATGGTGACATGCTGACATGCTGACATGGTGACATGGTGACATGGTGACATGCTGACATGGTGACATGCTGACATGCTGACATGTTGACATGCTGACATGGTGACATGCTGACATGGTGACATGGTGACATGGTGACATGGTGACATGCTGACATGGTGACATGGTGACATGCTGACATGTTGACATGCTGACATGGTGACATGCTGACATGGTGACATGGTGACATGCTGACATGTTGACATAGTGACATGCTGACATGGGGACATGTTGACATGGTGACATGCTGACATGCTGACATGGTGACATGCTGACATGTTGACATGGTGACATGCTGACATGGTGACATGCTGACATGTTGACATAGTGACATGCTGACATGGGGACATGTTGACATGCTGACATGGTGACATGCTGACATGGTGACATGTTGACATGGTGACAGGCTGACATGGTGACATAGTGACATGCTGACATGGGGACATGTTGACATGGTGACATGCTGACATGCTGACATGGTGACATGCTGACATGTTGACATGGTGACATGCTGACATGCTGACATGGTGACATGCTGACATGTTGACATAGTGACATGGGGACATGTTGACATGCTGACATGGTGACATGCTGACATGGTTACATGGTGACATGTTGACATGGTGACAGGCTGACATGGTGACATGCTGACATGTTGACATGTTAACATGGTGACATGTTGACATGTTGACATGGTGACATGCTGACATGTTGACATGGTGACATGGTGACATGGTGACATGTTGACATGGTGACATGGTGACATGTTGACATGGTGACATGGTGACATGGTGACATGCTGACATGTGTAAGGGTAGACTGGAGACATGATGGAGATTATTGAAGTTGGAGGGGTCGAGACCTGGTTTTTGATGATGGGCGTAATGGCAGCAGATTTAAAAGCTGTGGGGACAGTACCAGGAGGACAGACGGGAGTGGACGATGTCAGTGATGATGGGGAGCAGAGACCAGATTTAACAAGGACTGAGAGACAGGATGGAGCTGACAGGTGGACGGGGGCGGAGACCGAGAAGAGTTCTCTGGTTCTGTCTATAATCTGACCCAGCAGATCAAGGCCCAGTACCGTCTGAACGTATGGCAGCAGCTTGGCAATGATGGCGTCAGAAACGTTGTCCACGGCGTCCAGAGCAGGGACAATGGTGGACGCATAGAAGGAGAAGATGACCCTGAGCTGGGAGAAGCGGTCTGAGAGTCCAGAGTACGCCTGAAAACAAGAAAACATGAGTGAGAACAAACGCCAAACTAAAATATTGTTCCTCTGAGTCTGAACAGCTCCAGTTTCTACTGGAGCTTTAGAGAGAACTACGATAACTGGTTCTGTCTGGTTGCATTAAACCCAACAGACCAGAACCTGGTACTCCTCACTAGATGCTCCGCCCACAACCTGAGTATTCTGACAGTTCTGATCCGTCACCCAGAACAGACAGCGTCAGAGACGGTACCTGGATGGAGCGGGTCACCATGGTGCAGATGAAGTCCATGAAGCTCAGGTCTGAGTAGCAGTGAGTGATCAGAGTCGTCTTGGACAGCGGCACGCCCGGTTTCTGAAACACCAGCACCTCATTATCAAACAAACACTCTATGAGCCAGAACCAGAACCAGAACCAGAACCAGAGGCAGACCTGCAGACCCTGCAGCCAGTTCCAGCGGCTGGAGGCGTCTTTGATCTTCAGCAGCTGCAGGACTCTGACAAACACGTTGGTGTCGTGATACGGCAGCGCGCACGCCAGCAGGCTGTCAGTGTTGTACAGCTGGATGTGGAAGCTGCACAACAACCATGACATCATCATTACAACGTAAACCAGGTGTGTGCCATGTAAACCAGTTCAGGTGCACGTACCGGTGAACCAGCCATTCGATGCACTTGTGAGCAGGTTTGAGGAGGAAATACGGGCAGAGGCGCGCGAGGAAGAGCGAGACGCTTTTGTCCAGCTTCTCGTTGACCTCTCTGGACTGGACGCTGCGCTCCAGAGTCATGGAGCCCAGGCTAAACAGAGTGTCCTGGAACTCCAGAAGTGCTGGTTCGATTCCCAGCAGCTCCTCCAGTCCCGTACAGCCTGGAGGGAGGACAGCAGTTATCAGAACCAGAATCAACTTTATTGTCATGACACAGTGAAATGACGTTCCGTACAGCCGACTGAAGAAAGACAGAGGTGCACCGGGGCTGCAGCTTCCAGGAAGCGCTGCACTTCTCGCTTAGATAAGACGAGGCAGCACGAGGAGACGTATAAAATTTAAAAAGTTTGACTAAAGACTGGACGCTGGAGCGGGACGTTGTGCGAGCGCGGTTCGTTCCAGCCTCACCCAGAGCGTAGAAGGTGCTCCTGTCCATGGTCGCTGCATCTTTAGGGTCAAAGAGCAGCGAGGCCACCTCCTTCCGGGTCAGAAGGTTGACATCACTCTGAGGCAGAGCGAGTCTCTTCAGCTGGAGAGCCAACGACGTCATGATGGAAGAAAGCCTGAAGGACAAGAAACATTCATTCAACCTTTATTTCTACAGGTTAGTCCCAATGAGCCTCAGGGACTCATTTACAGACGGACCTGATTTAATAAAGAGTGATGACAACAGAGAACAATCACAAAAGAGGCGTACAGATTTAAATATCTTTTTCTTTTTTTACAAATCAAAACAAAATAGCAACCAAATGGACAATCAAGAGGAACAGCAGTGAAGCAGTGGTTGTGTTGTTTCCTGAAACCAGATTGATGTGGAGGTAAGATGTTAAATGAGTCCAGGTCATTTTTGATTTGAGAGTTTATCAGTTTTTCTAGAATCTTGGCTAAAATGCAGAGTTTAGAGATTGGTCCATAGTTGTTCAGTGAGGTGGGGTCACCTCCCTTCAGCAAAGAAGAACAAAGGCTGTTTTCAAGTGTCTGGATGGAGTTTTGTCTCATGGAGAGATTGAAGATGTGGGTCACAGGG